AAAATTCGCCCCCTCAGCTGTTTTCAGAAGCTCAGCTTCCCTCAGTACCTCTGTGCCTGGGCTGGTTGCATCTGTCACTATGCAAGCTCTCCTGCCCCAGGCCTCAGTTTCCCCAGCTTTTCAGTGAACATCTCTAAGGGATTGGCAACTGCATAAAGAGTCAGAGAGTAAATGCTTTAGGCTTTGCAGACCACAGACAGTCTCTGTTCCATATGCTAAAACCATTCTTAGCTTGAAACCCAGGCCATACAAAGACAGGCTGCATAGTTTGCAACCTTGAGACTAGGTCCTCAGCCTCTTCCAGCCCTGACCCATGGAAGGTGGCCCTCAGAGCCCTCCCCTTACCAGCTCATTCTCAGTGGCCTGGAATGGGGCTTTGGCCTCTGCACTCTTTGATAGTAACCTCAGGGCCTCAGTCCCTTCCATTTGGATGTGAGAAATATCTGGGCTTTGGAAAAATGCTTCCACAGCCCTCAGCTGTGCCTCCGCTTCCTCCCGGGAGATGAGGAAAACAGCACCTAGGAGTAAGGAAAGAAAGAAAGCTCTTTGGGTGAGGACTGTTGGGGGTGGGGTGGGGAGACAAGACTGAACAGTGGAGCCACACAGGCCACTCCTCAGCAATGGGGTGATAGGCGGGGGCCCTTCTGGATTTGTGCCCTGACACCTGCCAGCCTCGGCTGGGCACTCAGCTTGCGCAGTGCCAGGTGGGATCCCAGCTCTCAGCAGAGAAACAGGAGGGAATGGGTTGGAGGGAAGGGCCCCATGGGGATTTGCCTCTGGCTTTCAGCTGAGGGGCCCCTCATGTGATGTCCTTCTCCCCACAGCAGAGGACAGGAGCAACTCCTACTTCGTGGTGGCTGTGGTGAAGCGGGACAGCGCCTACGCCTTCACCATGGATGAACTGCACGGCAAGCGCTCCTGCCACTCGAGCTTCGGCAGCCCTGCGGGCTGGGACATCCCCGTAGGTGCCCTCATCCAGAGGGGCTTCATCCGGCCCAAGGACTGTGACGTCCTCACAGGTGCCACCCTCTGAGGGACATAGACTTTGGGAAATCTTCTTTGGGATTGGCTGAGGACAGTGGCCAGCTCTGAGGGTTGGGGGCCCTCTTCTAGCCAGACCCTACAGAAGGCAACCTCTTCCTCCTTGACATGCCCCTTGCTCTTGGGAAGGTTGGGGAATATTCTCAACCACACGTGCAACAGCCAGGGGTAGCTGTCTGGTGGTTCTGTGTGGGGTACCATGGTGCCCGCTACCCATTCATTCACCCAAAGTGGGACTAGCACCGGTGGGCATGGGTAGCAGGTGTGTGCATGGGCTGGGCCTGGCTGTGTCACCATCAGGTCACAGGACTGTCCACATCTGCCAGCAGCCCCTGGGCATCTGGGGGACCTTGTTGGAAAGTGGGCAGGCATCTGCATAAGTGCCCAGGTATCTACACAGTGCTAAGTTGAGGACAGAAGAAGAAACATTTGCCAAGCACTGCCATATGCCATACGCAAAGCCCTTCCTGTGTGTTAAATCATGCACACATGGGGCCGGCCCGGTGGCGCACTGCTACAGTGCGCCGCTTGGGAGCGTGGTGGCGCTCC